AGAGAGAGGGAGAGAGAGAGGGAAATGATTTGGCTATATTTGGTTCCAGTCATCTCTGAGGCCCAGCTACATCTGTGTAATTGGATTCTGTGAATTGACGTCCTTTTTATTTTTTTTTTTGCTGGAGTTGATCTGAGTTGGGTTTCTGTCAATTATATCCTCCTGACTCACCAGGGATAACCACCTTCTCCAAAAAAAATTTCAGCCAGAAACAGAAGAGTCTGTTGAATAAACCACCTTCTGTGGCGTAATATGGCGATTCTCATTTCTTAGATGAATCAACTAGCTACTTACATGATTCAAAACAAAACTGCCTTCAACAGGATCCCCTCACACATCACTGATGAAATCCTGTCCCCTGAACTATAGATCCCTCCCCTCTTATCTACCTTTCTGAATGTTGCTAATATTCTAATCTTGCAAACTTCCTATTCAGATATATCCATCTTACCTAACAATAAATATTTATTGAGCATCTACTACATACAAGCACTGAGCCAGGCACTGGGAGATAATTTACATTAATTGCCCCTTATTCACAGAGCTTACAATCTAGCGGGAGACATTAAACATATACAAATCATAATAATAACACAAAGTAATTTAGGGTAAGTACCATAAACAGCAGAGAATTTTAGTATTTCTGTCATTTGCAACCAAAACGAGTCCTGACTGACGAAGGAGGTGTTCAGAAGGCCTATGGGCACAGGAGTATTTCACACCTTGCAGGGATGGACAGGTGGAGAGATGAGGGGAAGGGCCGTTTCAGGTGCAGAGTGAACACTGGCACCTGACAGGACAGCATGATGGCAGTTCAGTGTGGATGGAGAGCGAAGGTGTAAAGGAATGTAATAAGAGAGACGGGGGGCGGAGGGGGAAGGGGGTGTAGAAGGGAAATTGGGGCCAGAATAGCAAGTGCCTGAGATTCCACCTTCAGGGAGTGATGTCTACCTCAATTCTACTCTTTGGCAGTATTATTCCCTATAATGTAATGCTTCCTCCCCAACTCAATCCACTCTCGATTCACCTCCAAATACACCCTCAATTATACCCAATTTCACTCTTCCTGGGTCATTTCTCTCCTCAAGTCCAATAGGCTCTGAAGATCACAAATCAATCAAGTTCTCTGGTAGAAAATGTTCCACATAATATTTAGACTTTTCAGAGAGGATATTTCAAAATGCTCTAAACACATCTGCTAATAGGACCTCCTTCTACAAAAACACGTTTCCTGAAAAGTGACCCTGCCAGTTCGGCTCTACGCTGACCTGCTCCACAGGCAGGCAGACCTACGCCCATCCGAGGCCGGCCGAACAGGACTCGCTCAGTGAGGAACGCGTGACGCTGGTGCTGAGCGGTGTGATCTCCACGCATCTGTAAGGTCTCACTCCTATTCTTCCCCAATTTATCTCAGACTCTCTATTTCCAGACAGAGCGTTTTACAAGGTTCTGAATTTCTACGGAAGTTACAATATACTCACTTTGTGACTCCATAGTCAATTCCAATTGTTGCAAGGTATTTCGACACAAATCTTTTCTCACAGTATCGCTTTATAATACAGCTCTAAAAAGGTGAAAATACATGCTTTTAGTAAATAGCCTCTGTGAACATATACAAAATAAACACATTTCTTCACATGGTTGGTGTCTTCATTCCTCACTATGAGAAAGCATTTTTTAAAGGCAAAAGTATAAAATAACTGAAACAAATGCTAAAAGTGAAGATTTTAAAGAAAAATTATTTTGTAATTCTCCCCTTAATATCGAATATGGGTATGCTTTTAGTTTAGTTCTCAATCGTTGTGCTCTTTTCTTTGACGATATCTTCTCCTTTCTTTTTATTTTTATTATTATTTTTTTAATTTCAGAGAGGAAGAGAGAAATAGAAACATCAGTGATGACAGAAAATCACTGCTTGGCTGCCTTCTGCACAGCCCACACTGGGGATTGAGCCCGCAACCCGGGCCTGTGCCCTGACCCGGAATCGAACCATGGCCTCCTGGTTCACAGGTTGACACTCAACCACCGAGCCATGCCAGCCAGGCAAGACCTCCTCCACTTTCAACAATAACAACAAAATGCCCAAGTCTAGCCTTGACCTCCCTCCCAAGACTAGATCCCCATCTCCAAATATCTGCTAGACTAGTTTCTACTCAGATGTCCTGTTGTTACCTCAAATTCAACATGTCTGAAAATAAACTAATCTTATATGTAAAATAGCGCATCCTGCTGACAACCTACTTCTATTGATATTGCTACCATTTTCCCAATCACAGAGGATCAAAAGGTTAAAGTCGTGTTTGATTCTGAGCCTTTCTAAATCTCCTTCTCTCTTCATTCCAAGAGCCATCGATCCCACTCTGGTTTAGGTCATCGTGTACTAGACAACCGTAGGAACTTCTTCATTCGTCTTTCTGGCCCCTTTTCCTCCCAACTTTAGCCAACACTGCACACCACTAACATTATTTCAACTCAGAAATCTTCAGTGGCTTCTCATTGCCAAGACTTCAAAATCCAAATTCCTTTGTCTGTTATTCAAGGTCCTCCGTAATCTAACCCTAATCTGTCCTCTCCAGCGGTTCTCAACCTGTGGGTCGAGAACAATGAAAATACATCCTGCATATCAGATATTTACATTACGATTCATAACAGTAGCAAAATTACAGTTATGAAGTAGCAACGAAAATAATTTTATGGTTGGGTGACCCCCAATTTCATTGTTACAAATTGAACGTAATTAAAGCATAGTGATTAATCACAAAAACAATATGTAATTATATATGTGTTTTCCAATGGTCTTAGGCGACCCCTGTGAAAGGGTCTTTCGACCCCCAAAGGGGTCGCAACCCACAGGTTGAGAACGCTGCTCTAAACCCTTCTATATAAACTCTCTATTTCGGCAAAACTCCCAGGACCCGACTTCCTGGCCTTTGTCATTACTCTTCCTTCTATTTGGAATAAACTTTCCCTTGTCTTTTCAAATCTTAGTTATCCTTTAAGGTCCAGCTCAAACTCAGCACTCAGGTTATAAGAGGTCTTGTCTGCATCTGAACTCCCCTAGCACTTTACATACACACTATCACATACACACACACACACCCTATGCACTGTCATTAGTCATACACTCCCTTGTATTGTTAATTACCTTTTCACATGTGTATATTTACTGCACACACACAAACCCTAGCATTGCCATTAGTCATACACTCCCTCGTATTGTTAATTACCTTTTCACATGTGTATATTTACTTTATCTCTTCAGCTAAACAGTAAACTATGTGAGGGCATGCACCAGTATTTTACTTCTTTATATCTTCTGCAGAATTAGATCAGTGCCAATGAAAAGCCAATTTAAAATGACTTGTATATTAATAATAATCCTTAGCATTTATGAAACTTATAATTTACTTGAAGTGCTGATAATGGAGTTTGTTCTTTCCTGATGAACCTCAATCTAAATTAAATAGGACAGTTACTATAAAAAGGACTTAAACTCACCCTAGTAAGAGAGGAATTGCAAGAGTGCCCTCTCGTGGACATTCTGAGAACAGCACCATTGTAAGGGGTTAGGTGCAATAGTGCCCTCTTGTGGACTTTTTGAGAACAGCACCCTTGTAAGGGATTAGGTGCAATGGTGCCTTCTCCCGGACTTTCTGAGAACAGCACCCTAGTAAGGGATTAGGTGCAATAGCGCCTTCTCCCAGACTTTCTGAGAACAGCACCCTCGTAAGGAATCAAGTGCAATAGTGCCCTCTTGTGGACATTCTGAGAACAGCACCCTAGTAAGGCATTAGTAACAATAGGGTCCTCTTTTTAAAAAATTAATATATCTTTATTGATTTCAGAGAGGAAGGGAGAGGGAGAGGGAGAGGGAGATAGGAGCACGGATTCCAGGCACGGAATCTCCTTTTTCTTATTTTATCTCTAGAACTTCTAAAAAACAATGCTGAGTAATAAAGGAAAATAGTAAGTATCCTTTTTGTACCTATTTTTAATGGAAGTTGCCTTAACATTTTACCATTTGGTATGTTTTCTGGTGATTGATATTAAATATTGTTTTATCATAAAGTGTTCATTAGAAGTGACTAGTTACATCAAATATTTTTACAGTACTGGAAATATTTTCTCCAGTAATCAGTTGACATAACAAATTATGGAGTTGACATCTTGATATTGAGCCATGTTTGCATTCATATAATAAACCCTTACTAACAGTGAATTATTTTTTATTGTTGAATTCTGTTGATAATTCAAAATTATGCATCTCTATGTCTATGTAAAATTGGTATATAATTTTTTAAAAATATATATTTTATTGAGCCAAACCGGTTAGGGCAGTATATAATTTTTTATACTATATCAATTTTTGCTACTTAAGTTTCCATGACTTCATATAATAAATTTGAGTCCTATTCATATTTTTTTTCTTTGCCTTGGAATAACTAAAGAAACTGAAATTGTGTTATTTAAAGCTTAAATAAGGCTTATTCATGAGCCTGATACCTTTTTAAATGGCAAATCTCTTTATTTTATTGATTTCAATTTTTAAAATATATTTTTATTGGTTTCAGAGAGGAAGGGAGAGGACGAGAGAGACAGAAACATCAATGAGAGAAAATCAGTGATTGGCTACCTCCTGCATGCTCTACACTGGGGATTGAGCCTGCAACCCAGCATGTGCCCCGACTGGGAGTCAAACTGTGACCTTGGATGAGAGAAAATCATTGATTGGCTACCTCCTGCATGCTCTACACTGGGGACTGAGCCCAAAACCCAGCATGTGCCCCGACTGGGAGTCAAACTGTAACCTTGTAGTTCACAGGTCAACATTCAACCACTGAGCCACACCACCTGGGCAATGATAAATCTCTTAAATTCTTTTTAATTTCTTCTGGAGTAACTGGTCAGTTGGACTTTCTACTTCTTTTTGAGTCAATTTTGGTAATTTATATTTTGCTAGGAAATCCCCCATTTCCTTTACATTGTCAAATGTGTTCCCATAGAATTATAGGTAGTATTCTCTAATCATTCTTTTAATCTCTTCCAGTATGTGACTATCTCCTTTTCAAAACAAATCTTGTAATTTTTTGCTTTCTCTATTTTTTCTTAAACAGATTTTAGGCACTTTGTCATTAGTCATTCCAGAAAATTCCCTCTCTCTTTTGGTTTATGTTGTGTTCCTTTTCCTAATGTATCAATAAATAAATTCCTTTAGCTTTTTAAAAATTGAGATATACCATACCATAAAATTCACATTTTAAAGTGTACACTTCCATGGTTTTTAGTATCCTCACAAAGGTGGGCAACCATTAAATTCCTTTAGTTTTTATCTCTCTTCTGTAGAAATAAAATAATGCATTTTCCTTTGATGACAGCTTTAATTTTGAAGGTTATGGTATAGATTTAATTTTGAAGGTTATGGTATAGATTCTATTCATTTTTATTGCTTTATAGTTATTTTGTTATTTGTTCTGATTTGCTTTTTGATCCAAGGATTATTTACTAGAGCATTCCTTATGTTTAACTTATAATTATTTATTTGTATATCTTTCTACATTTTCCAAATTCTTTAAAATGAGTATGTACTACTTTTATAATTAAGGGGAAAAATGTGTTCATTTAAATCTTTTATTCACCTAAAATTTATTTTTGAGAAAGGAATGCAATAGGAATCTACTCTACTCCCAAATAGTAGGTACTTATTCCAATAGTACTTATTAAATGGTCTCTATGTTCCCATGATTTCATTACATTTGTTATAAACTGAATTTCCTCATCTGTTTGGGTTTATTTCTGGACTCCATTCTATTCCACTAATGTCTCTATATTTCCTTTCCAGTATCAATAGGAAATCTTGGTAACTTTAAAAGGTGTTTTAATATCTAGTAGTGTTAGTCTCCTCTCATTTCTTTTTTCACAATTTTCTTGGTTATTCTCATGTTTCATTTTTCAGAAGGACTTTAGTACCTTTTATTATGTTCTGAAGGAAAATCTTACTGGAAATCTAATTGGAATTGAATGATATCTATGTATTAATTTAAAGAATTAACATTTCTACAATACTGAGTGATCCTAATTAAGAAGAAATATCTTTTCATTTGGCTAGGTAATTTTATGTCCCTCTGCAGAATATGAAATATTTCTTCATACAGGTCCTACCTAGTTCTTCTCAATTTTAAACCTACGCACTTTATTTTGTTTTGTTTTTTATTGTAAATTAAAATAGTTTTCAGTTATATATTCCAAACATTTATAATTTTATATAGTAAAGCTATTAATTTTTGTATATTAGTTTTTCCTTATTGAATTTTCTTATTGTTTCTAATAGCTTTTCAGTTCATTCTCTTTGGGTTTCTAGATAAACAATCATACCATTAGCAAATAATGATAATATTGCCTTCTTTCCAGTACTTCATGTATTCTTTCTTTCTCTTACCTAATTGCACTGGCTAATAAATGAATGCAGTGACACTGGGAATTTTGGGCTATTTCTAATGTTGCACCATTTAGACATAGTAAAATTACAAAAGTGATGCATGCTCACTTTGCCAATTTAGTACATAACCTTCAAAAGGCATTTTATTATTTCTTTTCAAGGCCTGGCACATAGCTGATGTTCAGTAAATGTTGACTTTCAGTGAATGCTATGTTAGTACTTACATTTATACACACAAGATACATAAATAGTAAAATGCTGCTAAATAGAAAGGAAAGACACTAATAAACATTGAATGAGCATAAACGGTATGTGCAAGGCACTGGCTTAAGCATCTCGTGGACGGTTCTTTTAGCTGGGACATTCTGCTCCCAGTTGATTTTGACAGCAGCCACCATGGAGAGAGCTCTGCGGTGGGCGTGTGAGGGCCCGGGTTCTAATCCTGCCTCTGTCACTAACGTGACGGCTCTGAGAGGTTCTCACTAAGCAGCTTCCACTCACCCAGAAGCAGAGACAATTTGGGTGAAGAGGAGGCAGTCTTAGGACTCATTTGGGGAAAGACCTGGGTCGCCTCTCGCCCTCCATCTC